CAGTGGGGTGGGTCAGTGGGCAGTGGGGTGGCTCAGCCGGGCAGTCACCACTGTGCCCTGTCCCGGCAGCTCTGGGTGGGGATGCCAGCCTGGTACGTGGCCGCGTGTCGTGCCAATGTGAAGAGCGGGGCGATCATGTCGGCGCTGTCGGACACCGAGATCCAGCGGGAGATCGGCATCAGCAACGCCCTGCACCGCCTCAAGCTCCGCCTCGCCATCCAGGAGATGGTGTCCCTGACCAGCCCCTCGGCACCGCCCACCTCCCGCACGGTGAGTGACCCTGTCCCCCACAGTCCCCCACAGACCCCCACAGACCCCCTGACCCTCACAGACCCCCACAGACCCCACAACACCCCCTGCCCTCACAGACCCCCACAATACCCCCTCATAGACCTCACAACACCCCCTGCCCCCCACAGACCCCCACAGACCCCCACGACATCCCCTGACCCTCACAGACCCCCACAAACCCCCACAACACCCCCTCTCAGACCCCCACAACACCCTCTGCCCCTCCCAGACCCCACAACATCCCCTGACCCTCACAGACCCCCACAGACCCCACAGCACCCCCTGCCCCTCACAGACCCCCACAACACCCCCTACCTCTCACAGACCCCCACAATACCCCCTCACAGACCTCACGACACCCCCTGCTCCCCACATACCCCCACGACACCCCCTCAAAGACCCCCACAACACCCCCTGCCCCTCACAGATCCTCCCAGACCTCCACCACACCCCTTGCCCCTCACAGACCCCACAACTCGCTGCTTCCCCTCCTTCCCCTTGGAGCCACGGTGTCCATCCGCAGTCCCGGCCTTCCAGGCGAGTGTGGCCATGGAGGGGGTGATGTTCCCTCCCAGACCAGGTGATGTTCCCTCCCGGACCATCAGCCCAATCCCCTGGCACAAAGATCATTTGTGGCTGTCCAGTGGGAAGCTCTTTCCTGCCCCAACACTCCTCTCCTCACTTGGGTTGTCAGCAGGGAGCTGAGCCCGACTGTGAGGAGCAAAGCTCAGGGACTGGCTGCCCTGGAGAGGGTAAAATCCTGGCCAAACAGCCCAAACCCAAACCTTCACCATTTACGGGGTCACACACACAGGTTTTTTCAGTCATTTCAACATGAGCCTTTTCCCAGGACCATGTGACATTGCTGGGGCAGCCGGAGCAGCTGCAGATCCCGGGTGGGATGGAGGGGTCGTGTGTCGTGCTGGTCCCAAACCCCTCGAGGGGTCAGTGATGCCCCAGTGATGCCAGGACATGTCTGTGGAACAGCAGCTGGCAGGGGGGGGACCCCGGGCTGCTGTGCCCCCTCAGATGGCTCTGTCTGGGGTCACAGCTGCCAGGGACAGGCCCACGGGCTCCAGGAGCATCCCCCCAACGTGCAGAGGGAGAGGAAGGGAGATGAAAGGGAGATGAAAGGGAGATGAAGGGCTTTTGTTCCCAGTGCAGTTGGTGCTGCTGGTGGCAGGGGCTGAGCACGAGCCCAGGTGGCTGAGAAGGCCACAGTGGCACCAGGGCTGTGCCAGCAATGGTGTGACCAACAGGACCAGTGATGTCCCCTGTGCTGGCCCTGCTGAGGCCCCTCTGGAATCCTGGGGGCAGTTCTGGGCCACTCCTGACAAGAAAGACACAGAGGGGCTGGAGCGTGTCCAGGGAAGGGAACGGAGCTGGGAAGGGGCTGGAGCAGCAGGAGGGGCTGAGGGAGCTGGGGGGGCTCAGCCTGGAGCAAAGGAGGCTCAGGGGGGACCTTCTGGCTCTGCAACTCCCTGACAGAAGGGGAGAGCTGGGGGGGGTCGGGCTCTGCTCCCAGGGAACAAGGGACAGGACAAGGGAAAACAGCCTCAAGTTGTGCCGGGGAAGGTTTAACTTGGATATTCAGGCATTGGAAGGTGCTGCCCAGGGAGGTTTGGAGTTCCCACCCCTGGAAGCATTCAAAGAGCAAGTAGATGTGTCACTTGAAGACATGTGAATGTGGTGGTGGTGTTGGGTTGATGGTTGGGACTCGATGATGTTAAAGGTCTTTCCCAACATTAATAATTCTATAATTCCATGATTTGATGACAGTTGTGAACCTCGAGGCCACAGCTCTGTGGTGGTTCCCTCTGACCCCTCTGCTGTTTTCCCTGCAGTCCTCTGGAAACGTCTGGGTCACCCACGAGGAGATGGAGAACATGGCAACCTCCACCAAGACGGTGAGGCCGAGCAGCCCCGAGCTCACCGAGCTCTGGGCGTGTGTTCATGCCCCAAACCCCGGGAGGGAAAGGGATCTCTGCTGCCTCTCGTGTGCCAGCTGTTGGCCAGCACCCTGCACCTGCTTAGAAACCACCTTTCAGCCTTTGATATCCCAGCAATTTCTAGGACTGGCTTAAAACCCATCAGATGCATTTTCCTTTGTCGAGCCCCCGTGGGTTCCTGGGGCAGCCTGGCTGTCAGTTGGGACTTAAAGGCAAAAAACAAGAGAGATCCCAAGATAGACACGTGAGATTGAGTCCCTGCATTGTTCTGCACCCAGAGAAGCTGCTGCCTCACGCCCCAGTGACCTCAGCACACCCAAATATTGTCCCTGCTGCCTGTCCCTGCTGCTGGCTGACGGCTCGGGGTCCCCCAAAGGGATGTGGCCGTGCCCCCAAAGGCTCTGGCTCCTTTAGAGATGTAGCCACGCTCCCCTGTCTGCAACTTAATGACCCCGTGGCTCAGAACAGGGGCAGCGGTTTGGGTTTGTTGTGTGAATGTTGTTTGTTGCTCCCTGGGTTGGAGCAACCTGGTCTGGTGGAAATTGTCCCTGCCCAGGACAGGGTGTGGAACAAGATGAGCTTTGAGGTCCTTCCAACCCAAACCACTTTGGGATTCTGTGATTTAGGCATTTTGTAGAAGCTTTTTTCTGCTGTTTGAGCAGCACAGACCCGTGACTGGCAGGTGCTTTTTGGGTGGGAGGGCTCTGAGTTGTGACAGGGACGTGACGCTGTCCCCTGGCAGGTTGTGTGTGGAAAACCAGCCCAGCTTGATAAGGAAGCTACAAACCCCTCAGGTTGGGTTGGGCAGCCCCTCTGCGGGGTGGTGAGCCAGGAACTGAAGTTTCTCTCTGCATCCATCTCACCTGGGGGGACACGAGAACTCCCCAATTTCCCAGGGAAGGTGCAGGAGCCCCGGGGTCGGTGCTGCCTCCAGCCCAAACCTCCTCCTGTGTCCTCCTTCCTTGGTTAGAGAGGGGGTGACACCCAGGCCTGGTGGGGTTGGTGACAAGGCCGAGGTGGCCCCTGGAGCCACCCCTGTCCCCTCCTGGTGCCGCTGTGCAGGGGGGTCCCCGCTCAGCACGGGGCAGATCCTGCCGTGGCCCCGGGCACTGACCTGTCCTGTCCTTTCTGTTGCCATGCTGCATGTGTCACCCCAGGACACAGAGGAGGGCAGCTGGGCACAGGTGAGGTCCCCGTGTCACCCGTTCTGGGGCGGTGCATGGGGTGCTGGTGGGAGGGGGAGCTGGACATTCCCGGGGGGGAATCTGGGGCTTTGATGTTCCCTCAGTGCCTGTTGGAGTCTGAACCTGCACCCTGGGGCTGCTCCAGAGCAGGGTGTGCTCCTGGAACCTTGCAGGGTCCTCTTCTGCTCCTGGCAGTGACTTTTCCTGGGACCTGCTCTGTAAGGTCCAGGCCCTGTGTTAAGAACCCCCCACTGGGGGCAGCTTTGCTTTTCACCTGTTTTGCATTTACTTTTCACCTATTTTACATTTACTTTTCACCTGTTTTGTAGCCCCCAAGTCCATACAGACCATTTTAATGACCCAAAAAGGTGGGAGGAAAGAGTCCTGCTGGGATCCGTCCTTTCTGGTTTTGTCCCTCTCAAATTTTTTTACTGTTATTCTGGTGGATTTTATTTCATTTTTGGACCCAGAACCAGTTTGCAGTGAAACTGAACCAGTTTGGGGGTTCTGTCCAAAACTGACCTTTTTTTTGTTGTTGTTTTGAAGCTATAAAATAAAGATTCTTAAAACAGAGGTTCCTAAACATCAGTTGGGAATGCACTGGAACCTATTTCTCAGTTGGTTCAGCTTTCAGTGAATGTGAATTCTATGAGCAGCTGCTCATAGAAGTCCAGCTATTCCTTGGGCTGCTGCCTTGTCTCCTCGTGGGACATCAGCAGGACCCAAGCCATGGCCCACAGGACTGTTCCCTCTGGGTTAAACCCCTCTGGCCTGGCTTTGGCCCCCGGGACAGTGACCCCTGCTGAGCCACCTCCCTTCTCCTGGGATTTTCCAGCTCCACCGAGCCCAGGGTTCTCTCAGGCTTCTCCATTTGCTTCTCCACAGACCCTGGCCTACGGGGACATGAACCACGAGTGGATTGGGAATGAGTGGCTGCCCAGCCTGGGGCTCCCCCAGTACCGCAGCTACTTCATGGAGTGTCTGGTGGACGCCCGGATGCTCGACCACCTCACCAAGAAGGACCTCAGGGTGCACCTGAAGATGGTGGACAGCTTCCACCGGTGGGTGCCCCGCTCTGGGAGGGCCCTGGGGTGTACATGGAGCAGAGCAGGGGGTGATCTGAGGGATCCTCCCCAGGGGTGGCTCCTCTGGGCTGGACTCGCCCTCCTGGGTTAGGACGGCTCTGATGGGAGTTGTTCTCCTTCCTCACACTCCCTGCTGCACAAATGCAGAGGGACCGAGCCTTGTCCTGGCTGTGGAGCAAACCAGGGGCAGGAATTTGGGCTCATCCCACCTGGAGCCCCGCTGGCAGCAGAGCAGCCCCAGGGGAGAAGGCTTGTGCCATCCCAGCCACTGCTCCAGCACCCAGCCCTGTCCTGGGGGTCCCAAACCCCCCTGACCCACAGGGATGTGTCCAAGGCCCTGCCACATCCCAGCCACAGCTCCCACACCCAGCCCTGTCCTGGAGGTCCCACACCCCCTGCCCCACAGGGATGTGTCCAAGGCCCTGCCATGTCCCAACCACTGCTCCAACACCCAGCTGTGTCCCAGGGTTCCCCCATCCCCTCTGACCCACAGGGACGTGTCCATGGCCCTGCCATGTCCCAACCACTGCTCTCAAACCCACACCCAGCCCTGTCCTGGGGTCCCCCTACACCCCCTGCCCCACAGGGATGTGTCCATGGCCCTTCCATGTCCCCCCCTGCCCCTGGAGCCTGGAGCAGCCCCCCGGGCTGGTTCTCCCTTCCCTCTCCCCCACCCAGCAGTTATTGTTTGGATCCAGGGGCTCCCAGGCAGCTGGGACAGGGTAGATCCAATGGAATGGGGAATTGCCATGGAAGAGAGGGACATTCCCCATGTTCCAACTCCAGATTGTGCCTGTCCCGAGCCCTCCCTGACCCTCAGCACCCTTGGGGCACAGGGAGGGCAGGCAGGAGGGGGGGCCCTGCTCAGGTCCCTGCGGTGGCACTGAGCCCCCGGGGAGGGGGTGACACCTCGTGTCCCTGCAGCACCAGCCTCCAGTACGGCATCATGTGCCTCAAGAGGCTCAACTACGACCGCAAGGAGCTCGAGAGGAGGCGAGAGGAGACCCAGCACGAAATCAAAGGTCAGCACCCGCACCCCGTGTCCAGGGAAAGGAGGAGGGAAACCTCCCAGGAGATCCCCAGCCATGGTCCCTCTCCTGTCCCCTATTTTTAGCCTCCCAGGAGATCCCCAGCCATGGTCCCTCTCCCATCCCCTGTTCTTAACCCATTATTCCTGAGCCCACAGGGCTGTTCTCCAGGGAAGAACTCCCTTCAGTGTGTCCCCAGCACACAGCTGAGCCCAGTCAGGCGTGAGGAGGGAGGAAGGATTGAGGGCAGCAAGGACCCAACCTGAGCATCAGATCCCCTCCTGCCCATTCCAGGTGCTCAGCACACGCCCCCAGCTCCCTTGGCCTCCCCTTCCCGGCTGTCCTGAGGTTCCCTGCACATCTGGCTGCTGCTTGGATTACATCTCATTACTGATAATGCCCCTAATTACACCAGCAGCTGGGGGTTCTTAGGATTAATTTGCACAGTTGTTTTCTGCCTGTTATTCCAGCCTTTGGTTTGGGAAATGGAAGTGAGCTGCTCCTGGCACTCGAGCTCCCGGAGCTGCCGGCTTGGGAAGGAGAGTCCCGGGATCAGCCTGGGGCACAGGGAAAAGCCCTCAGGACACCCTCAGATCCCCTCACAGCCACGAGAGCGTGGTCTGGGGTGGCCCTGAGATGTGCCCTGGCTCCTTTGCAGACGTGCTGGTGTGGACCAACGACCAGGTGATCCACTGGATCCAGTCCATCGGGCTGCGCGAGTACGCCAACAACTTGGTGGAGAGCGGGGTGCACGGGGCCCTGCTGGCCCTGGACGAGAACTTTGACCACAACAGCCTGGGCCTGGTGTTGCAAATCCCCACCCAGAACACACAGGTAGGAGCAGCCCAAACCTTGGGGGGTTTTGGAGGAGGGTGGCCAGTGTGGGACATGGCTGCGGGGTGACCCCCCCAGTCCCACCAACTCCGCTCTGCCCTTCAGAGCAGAGCTCTCTGCTGGCATGGGGGCTTTTCTCGCATCCTTGGGCTTTTTCTGTCACTCTCAGGCTCTCCTGGGATGGGATTTTTGGCTGGAAACACATTCCCCTTGGTGGGCAATGCTCATTTTTTGGTTCCTTTCAGGCTCGGCAGGTGCTGGAGAGGGAGTTCAACAACCTGCTGGCCCTGGGCACAGACCGGAGGCTGGATGATGTGAGTGCCAAACCTGCCCCTTGTCCTGTGCTGTTGGGGGAAGGACCTGGGGCTGTGGAGGGATGAGAAGCTCAACATGCTCTGGCCACGTGTGCTGGGACCCCAAACCCCCCGTGCCCTGGGCTGTTCCCACAGGGATTGTGGGCACAGGGGAGGGAGGATCTGCCCCTCTGCCCCCTCGGGTGAGACCCCCCTGCAGAGCTGCCTCCAGTCCTGGGGTCCCGACAAAAAAAGGACAAGGAGCTGCTGGAGCAAGTCCAGAGGAGGCCACAGCGATGCTCTGAGAGCTGGAGTGTCTCCTCCATGACCCCACCATCCCCTGGGGTCTTTAGTGGGGCCTGAGTGTTGATGTCTCCAAGGCACCTTTGCAGGCAGGCTGGGGAGAAGGGACAGGCGAGCTGGAAAGGACAAAGCCTTGGGATAAAGCCCTGGGACCCCAGGGAGGTCTCCTTGCCCTTGGCCCATAGTTTGATCGCACGTGACCCTGAGCTGAGCTCAGCTGGTTGGGGCGTGGTGTCCGTGGAGCTCTGCCCGTTGAGTCCTTCACCCCCAAAGCTTCACCAGCTGCAGGATCAGTGTCCTGGGGTTGGGAAGTTCCTCCATCCCAAGGGAATTGGACACAGGCATTGAGACCAACACCAACAGCTGGGATTAGCTGGGTGGTTTGGGGCGTGGTGCCCACAACACCGAGTTTGTGGGTTCGGGTCGTTCACTGAAGGGTTGGACTCGATGGTCCCTGTGGGTCCTTCCAGCTCGGAATATTCCGGGATTGTTCTACGGGTCACCCAGGCCGGGCACAGCCCTGGGAGGTGGCAGCAGTGCCGGTGCCTCCCCGGGTGGAGGTCCCGTGCCCACGGCCGCTCTGCTGCCCCAGCAGGGCGATGACAAGACGTTCCGCCGGACGCCGTCGTGGCGGAAGCGCTTCCGCCCGCGGGACGTGCACAGCATCAACCTGCTGAGCGGCTCCGCTGAGACCCTCCCCGCCGGCTTCCGCGTCACCAGCCTCGTGCCACTGCCACCCCCCGCCGCCCCCACCAAGAAAATGCCCCCGGAAGGTGAGACACCCCCTCCCCAACGGGGTGCTCTGAGTCCCCAGGGGCTCATGGGGAATGGGGGGAATGGGGAGGAGAAAGGGAAAGGGAAGGGGAAGGGAAAGGGAAAGGGAAGGGGAAGGGAAAGAGAAAGGGGAAGGGAAAGGGAAAGGGAAAGGGAAAGGGAAAGGGAAAGGGAAAGGGAAAGGAAAGGGGAAGGGGAAGGGGAAGGGAAAGGAAAAGGGAAAGGGAAAGGGAAAGGAAAGGGAAAGAGGAAGGGGAAGGGGAAGGGAGAAGGAAAGGACAGGAGAAGAGACAAGATGAGGGAGAGGGAAAGGGGAAAGGGAAAGGGGAAAGGGAAAAAGGAAAGGGAAAGGACAGGAGAAGAAACAAGACAAGAGGGAGAGGGAGAGGAAAAGCGAGAAAGGGAAAGGCAGAGGGAGAGGAGAAAGGCTTCCTGCTCACCCAAGATGCTCAGTCCAGGTGATCTCTGAGCCCCTGGCTGCTGTAAATGTTTTTTTCCAGGAGGGTTGTGTCACTCCTGTGTTATTTCTTGGTTTCGAACCACAAGGACAAGGGAGGGGCTGGACTGGGGGTGAAATGGGGCCGTGTCACCCTGGGTTTGGCATCCAAACCTGAGCCTGGTGTGGTAGCCCTGGGACTGTCAGGGTGCAGCAGCCCAGCCTTGTCCCTCCTGCCCTTTGGAACCCTCCCCAAAGGGCCTGGATGAACCAGCTCCGTTTGCCCGAGGCTGGCAGGGCCTGCAGGGACCCTCTGGCTGCTGTGCTGCTGGAGTTGGGTGTTGTTCCTGAGCACAGGGGTCCCAGGCTCTGCCCCACCACCACACAGCTCCTTCCTTCCAGGTATCCTGGTCCCTTCCCAAGCTGTAGGGAGGCAGAAGCTCCAGCCTCTGTCCCCTGGGCCAGGCACCCTGGTCCCCCTGTCCCAAACCACATGTCCCATCCTCGGTGGAGCAGAGCTCAGAAATAAGGGGGGGAATGAAAACTGGACAGTTGTGCCTTCACCTCCCAGCTCCAAACCCCAGGCTCAGCTCTCCTCCTGCCTCCAGGTTGGCTCCAGTGTCACAGTTTCCCGTCCAGCAGTTTGGGTCAAACTTCTCTTCAGCCTTTCCCACTCCATCCCTGGAAACTGCAATTCCCACCTGGCTGAGGGCAGTGAAACCTGGGACAGAATCCTACCCGGACACGGGGAGCTGCCCAGGAATAGGGATGGCAAGAGGCCACTTCCCAAATAACCTGGAGCTTTGGGAGCACCAGGGCTGGCCAAACACTCCTCCTCCTTTGGCCCTCGATGTGTGGCTGCAGGGCACAGACTCTGCTGAGTGAACGGTGGGGTTTTTGGGGGAGCTGAGGGCTGACTGGAGCAGTCACCCATTGCTTTGCTCTTTGGCTCCCTCCCAGTTGGTGCCTCGGGGTCGCCGAGGCTGGAGAGCTCCACAGTGCGGACGTACTCGTGCTGAGGGTCAGCGAGACGGGACCCCCGGCCCGGGTGAGTGTGAGGAGAGAGAGGCCTCGGAGCTGGGGGGGGCACAGGGCAGAGCAGGAGGCCCAGCCCCAGCCAGGCAGGCTGGCTGCTCCAAGCTCTCCCTGGCCATGGGGGACCATGGAGAGCTCAGTGGTGGGGGAGCTGCTGCTGCCTGAGGCTCCCGGGACCCCAAGGGGGTGTGGGAGGGATTCCCCACATCCCAACCCCGGGCGTTCTGTCCATCCCTGCCTTGTCCAGCTCCACTGGGGACCCCCAGGGTGCAATTCTAGGTGGGAGGTGAGGGAAGAGTGGTCAAGCACTTCGAGAGGCTCCTGGGATCCCGCTGTACCCGTGGGTTCGTGGTTCTCCTGTGCCAGGGGGATCATCGCCCGCTCCCGCTGGGTTCCTTGGGGTTGAACCACCCCTCTGACGGGGCCTGTCCCGCTCTGTTCCTCAGCACATCCCCGCTCTCGAGTGGCCCCGTGCTGGCTGCCTTTCAGGACAAGAGCCCAGCCCGTGCCTGTCCCTCGGCCCGACCCTCCGGATGCCGCAGCCTCGCTGCTCTGGACCGACCAGGACCTGTCCCTCCTGCTTGTGAACCCACCACTCCCCCCGTGGCTCCCACCCCCGCCCTGCCCACCCGCCCCTGCCCTCGCTGCCCGGGCTGGGGATGTGCTCCAGGGGCCATCCCAGTGCGGGGCCACCCCGTGGGGCCACAGAGACACCCCAAAGAGCGGGCTGGGACGTTTGGAACCCTTTCTCCCGCCTGGGTCACGGTGCCAATCCTCCGTGGGCCGACCTGCCCAAGCCCCGGGCGTGGGGATGCTGCTGCCCACAGGACTCGGAGCCAAGGCAGACTCAGGCTCGTGCCGGGCAGGGGCTGCCCCGGGGGCGGTGCCAGGGTCGGTGCTGTGTGTGGGGTGGGGCCGTGGGGGGGTGAGGAGGGCGGTGACTGCCCAGGTGCTCATTTTGGTGCTGTCGGGTGCCCCCGGAGCGGGGGGGGGCCGTGCCTGCCCGGCAGGGCTGCGTGGGAAGGGCCGGCACTGCCCGCTCTGGCTCCGTGCCAGGACGGTGCCGGCACCCACGGGAGAGGGGGACCCTCCTTGGGGGCCCGGGGGGACGCACGGGAGCACCCAGAGCCCCCCCGGGACGTGCCCACCCCTTCCCCTCCGGGTGCAGAGGAGATGCTCTCCCCTCCTGCCTCCAGGCTACGGGTGGGGATCAATCCAGGAGACTCTTAACTCTTCCCATTTCTCCCCCTGTAGGGTAGGATCTCTTCGTCTCCTCATGCCACGTTTGCCTTGTGTGGCCCCTATTTCTGATGTGATATTTATTGATGGCTGGAATGACCTTATACTTATCATGTGCTGTCTGGAAGTGCAATATCTGAGAGGCTCTACAGTCACGGCGTCTTTTCGGTGTATTATTTGCCTAATACAGTATTAAATATTTTTTTAATTTGAAGAGTCAGTGAGCCCTTTATATCGATGCCCTATTTCTTTCGTCATATTATTGGTACTGCATGGACTCCAAACCCTGGATCGGGTCAGGAAAGGATGTATGTGTGTTCCAATAAACAGGATTTTAAAACAGTGCTGGGCTCGAGCCTTCTTTCTAGAGGCCAAATTAACAATATCATGAATCTTTCGCCCCCTCAGGAGCCTTGGGGTACAGGGCTGAGCCCCGGTTGCTGGGGGTCTCAAACCACTGGTCTCTCAAGGGCTAATTTAAAAGTGGCACAACCAGTTCCCACCTGAGTGACTGCACCGAGGTCCAGCTGGATTTTCTGATATGAAAAAACCCCGACCTGGGAATTGGGGCAGCCTGCACAAAGGGGAACAGCACTAAAGGAAAACCCCAAGCAGTCCAAACAAGAATGCCTTTATTAAAAAAAAAATCCAAATAAGTTAGCAAAAATAATAATTAAAAAAACCAAACCCCTAAATGGCAACTGCACACAGCGCTGAGTAGAAAAGACGGGGCCGGCTCCGGGGCGGAGAGAGCCCTTGGTCAAGGAGCATCTGGGAAAAAACACCAGCAAAGCGAACCCAGCACACGCATTGGCCCCCAAAACCCCAACACTGGGGAGCAGAGCAGAGCCCGACGCCAAGCACTGGGCACTGCCAACATCCCACCTCTCCCCGCTCTCGTTCCCGGCCGGGTCGGGCGGGAGCGTTTCGCGGGGAGCGGGGAGGAGACGAGCGGTCCCAGCGCTGCCGGAGGCGTGACTGTGATTCCCGGCGGCCGGACCCTTCCAGCGCCTCCCTCCCGGCCCCGGGATTCCGAGCCGGCTCAGTTCTGGCCCCGCTCCTCCCGGAAGGTCGCGGCCGCGCCGTCGCCGGCGATGCTCTCCACGAGCGAGGACAGCGAGGGCAGGTCGCGCTCCTCCGCCGCCTCCTCGGCCAGGAGGGGATCTGTGGGAGCAACGGGGGGTGGCACCGCTGGGGACGGGCACCCCGAGCTTGGGGACAGCTCCCGGCTCCGCGGGGAACAGGGTTTAACGGTGGTGCAGGTTGATGATCCTAAAGGTCTTTTCCGACCTTAATTTGGTGCTTCTGTTCCACAATTCTATGACCTTGTGGTCCCTCACGTGGCCGGAGTGGGACCTGCGCCCAGCTCCCACCCTGGGGAAGGATGAGATAGCAACAAGGGGTGGCATTTTTGGACAGTTTTTAGGTTTTATTCTCTGCTGGAAAACCAGATTTAAGTTTCTGCCTTCTGGGGAAAATAACAGGTGGATTTGGTTGGCGGGGGGGAGTTGGGGGGTGGAAATAACTGTAATCATGGAAAAATCATCAGCAGCTGCAGAAGGGGAGTGGGGAGGGAAGGGGAGCCTGGGGCAGAGATGCTCAGAGATCCTCAGCAAGGCTCAGAGATCCTCTGCAGTGCTCGGAGATCCTCAGCAACACTCACAGACCCTCTGCAACACTCACAGACCCTCCGCAACACTCAGAGATCCTCAGCAACGCTCAGAGATCCTCAGCAGTGCTCAGAGATCCTCAACAATGCTCAGAGATCCCCAGGAATGCTCTGAGATCCTCAGGGATGCTCAGCACCACAGCCCTTTCTGGGATGGAGCTGCCTCTGCTCACCCTCATCCTCTTCCCCTTCCCCAGCCCTTTTTTTGGGAGGGATCCACCTATGATCATCTTCATCCCTCTCCCTTTCCCCCCTGCCCTTTTTGGGATGGAGAAGACCCTGAGGATCCTCATTCCCCTCCATTTCCCCAGCTCTTTAAGGGAGGGATCAAGGGATGCCCAGGGATGAGCCTTGCTGGAGGTGAAGCCACCAGGACCCCGGGCTGCTGCAGTGCAGCTTCTTGGCTCCCAAGATCTGGTGTCTCGGTGAATCAGGGCTTGGAGAAGCCTGAATTTGCTGAGAATTGAGCCAAGGAGGTGCTGGAGGATTTCTGAGCTCCCCCCTCTGCAGCAGTAGGGTGGGAGAGAAGGACAAGGCTCCTTCCCTCCTTTGCTCCTCTGTCTGGGGGGGGTTGGCTCAGTGATGTGCTGGGGTGTCCCCCACTGTCCCCACTCCCTCCAGAGCCCAGGGAGGCTGTGGGGTGGCACAGCCAGGTGAGAAGGACCTTCTTTACCTGCAGGGTTGGTGCCAAACTCCAGCTGGGTGCTCCACTCGGGGCTGCAGGATGAGCGGCCGGATCCGCACTCGCTGGTCGCCTGTGAGGGGTTGAGATGCCAACCATGGGTGTCACCTCCTCCAGCCCCAGCAGCCACCCCAAAACCACCCCAGGCTGCCCAGCCAGCTCAACAAAACACCCCTGTGGGGGTGAGAACATCCCTCCACACCTGCAGAGCAGCCGGAGGAGCCAACAGTGCTCGGGATCCCTGGGATCCATCGGGACTAGAAAACCTCCTTTTTGGGCCCTGGGCGCAGAGAAACGGGGCCACCTGCTCACTGCAGGTCAAAAGGTGTCTCTTTACCCAGAGAAAGGGTTGGAGATGCACAAATGGCCTTGGGCAAAACAGATTTTTGCTGAAAATCACCTTGTCAGACCCACAAAAAGTGATGCCCTCGGGCCACCCCGCGGGGGTCCCTGGGAAAGAGCTTTTGGCAGTTTGATTTGTGGGCTTGGGGCTTAGTGGTTGTTTCCCAGAAAAGAGCTGACAGCCTGAGAAATGAGAGCTCAGAATGAACTTGTTTTGGAGTGTGCCTTTATCCAGGAGTGGATGCCAGCTCAGGTAAAACCCAAAATGGGATTTCTGGGAGCAACCCCAAGGACCCAACTCTTCGTAGCAGCCCCAGAAATGGCACTTTGGGTCCACGAGCTCATGGCAGCACAGGATAATTAATCAACACTTGGCTTTATTTCCCACAGAAGCAGGAAATTCTTACAGATACGATTTTTTCCCCCAAAAAATATTGGCTTTTGCATCCCCTGGGAGAAGGGGCAGCTCAGGACAGAAGTGACACAGTTTTGGACACCTTTGCAGGGACAGCCACCAAACCCCCCCAAAATCCAAGTGGACCCTGAGAGGTGGAAATTGGATTCTGGTACCCAAGTGGATACTGAGAAGTCCTGAGAATGTGGAAGAGGATGGGGCCTAAAAGCTTTTCCAGTCCTTTATTCAGCATTAAGTGTTGGGTTACTGGTTCCTGCTGCTTTGGTCCTTAAATCCCTGAGTCTGAAGCAGATGAATCTCTGGGAATCCCTGTCTTATAAAGTCCCTCTGTCTCTATATCATCCATCTCTATATCTGTCTTTGTCTGTATGTACATATACATCTATATATCTCCATTTTATCTATGACATTTATATCCGTATCTACATTATCTATATACAAATTATCTATATCTATACATAATTTATCTCTCTATATACAGATATCCATAACATTTATATATATCTGTTATATATCTATGTAATCTGTATCAATATTCATGTCACCTCTCTATATAATATACATATATTTATATCATTTACCTATAGATCTGTATCTCTAATCTCTACCTGTGTCATCTGTGCCTATAGCCCTCCATACCTTCCCATTTCCAAAGGCTCAGAGTGCCCTCCCAGCCCTCCCCCAGGAACCAGAGGGCAGCTGAAAACATCCCTCAAAGTGTTATTTTATTTTATTTACATTTTATGCTTCAATTTTTGCAGTTTATGTTCTTACTTAATTTTATTTCTATATTTATCTTTCGTTTTATGGATTTAATTATTTCACTCCATGCTGTTTTAATTTAGTTTGGTTTAGTTTACTTTAACGTTAGTTCTTTCATTTTCACCCATGTGATCCCTCCCAAGCCCGGGCACGTGTCACTCACAAAGCAGTGACCCCATTGGCCCTATAGAGAAAAACCCCACAGAGAACAACCTCATAGAGCAATGTCCCCATAGACAATCAGTCCCCTATGGCATCACCCCCATAGGGCATTGTCCCCATAGAGAGTCACCCCCATAGAGAACAACCCCATAGAGCAATGTCCCCAAAGAGAATCACTCCCCTATGGCATCGCCCCCATAGGGCATTGTCCCCATACAGCATAACCCTCACAGAGGGTCACCCCCATAGAACATCAGCCCCAGAGAGCAAATGTCCCCATAGAGCATCACTCCCCTACAGCAGTGTCACCCTGAAATGGCATCACCCCCGTAAAGCACCATCCCATAGAGCATCAACCCCACAGTGTCACCCCCATAGGGCATCACCCCAATAGGGCATCGTCCCCATAGGGCATCGTCCCCATAGAGCATCGTCCTCACAGTCACCCCCACAGAACATCAGCTCCATAGAGCAATGTCCCCACAGAGCATCATTCCCCTACAGCATCACCCCCACACAGTGTCACCCCGAATGGCATTGCCCCCACAGAGCACTGTCACCCCCACACAGTGTCACCCTGAATGGCATCCCCCACATCAGGCATCACCCCCATAGAGTGTCACCCCTAAATGACATCACCCCATAGAGCATCGTCCCAGAAAGCACTACCCCCTAGAGAGAGTCACCCCCATAGGGCATCACCCCCCAGAGCATTGTCACCCCCAGAGAGTGTCACCCCCGTAGGGCGTAACCTCCCAGGGGCACTGTCCCCATAGGGCACCACTCCCATATGGCATCACCCTTATAGGACATGACTCCTATATGGCATCACCCCAACAGGCATCTTCCCCAGTGGCAGATCCCCCCTGGAACGTCACCCCCATCCAGCATCACCCCAACAGAGCACTGGCACCCCCACAGACTGTCACCCCCTAGGGCATGGCCTCCATAGGGCACTGTCCCTGTAGGGCATCACTGCCCCATGGCATCACCCACACGGATTGTCACCCGAAATGGCTTCACCCCCACAGAATGTCACTCCCATATGGCATCACCCCCATCAGATATCACCCTCTTCGGGCAGATCCCCCATAGAGCACCACTCCCCTAGAGCATCACCCCATAGAGCACCAC